ACTGTATTATTCAGATGTGACAATGCAGCTCTACAACATTCTTAGTGAACGTTTTGATGTGGGGAGGGGAGAGAATAAAATGAAAAGCCATCTAACAGTGGTCCCAGATGCAAAGGTGAGTGTATGTCAGAAGATGCATCTGGGAGATTACTCATGTGCATGAATATGTAGGAAGTCACACAAGGCAGATTTACAGGTCCTTTCTGGACAAGGTGTTATATGAAGATGACATAACTGATGCTTCTACCACTAGAGAGAGGCTGTTCTCAGGGGAAGGAACCCATGGATAATTCTCCAACAGTTCTGTCATTCACTCAGATACCTAAATAGCAGTGCAGAAGTGCTGGTCAGGGAGAAGCTGACACTACTTCTGTGGTCTTGTTTCTGAACTCGTTTTTACAGTGCTAGATATCGAGCCCAGGGCATTCACAGTAAGCCATGTCCTTATATCCTTGACCTTTTTTTTTTTTTTTAATTTGAGACAAGGTTTTGCTGAGTCCCTTAGTTGCCAACGCTGGATGTAAAATTGTGATCCTCTCACTTCATCCTCCCAGATGTTAGGGTTACAGGCATTGCCACACCTGGCTTTCTTTATCATCTTACGAGACAAAACCAGATCTTATTGACTTCTTCCCCTACTGGATTTTCCATGTGTTTGGCTTCTCTTCCTGTACTCTATTCACAGATCTTGATGATTCCAAATACTTGCTAGTCTCCAGGCACACTCAATCATTTCTAAATCCCTGACATCTATTTTGGTAAACTCCAACAAGTATCTTCCTATGAGCTAACTCTGGCTTTTGAAGACCAGGTTTTGTTCAACTGCTACTTGACCTTGCAGTTTAGTTATTTTAAGAGAATTTCAAAACAGAACCATTTTTGTCTGTTCAGCCTCTCTCTTCTGCAGCTTCCCTATTTGGTAGTTGTATCATTTATACAATTTTGCTGGCCAGAAAACGAGCTCCTTGTACCCCTTCACTTATCAGATCTAGTCCAACAGTCTGTCCCGTAGGCATTGTTTCTGCCACCAAACTAGATCTCCATGGAATCCTCTGTGTTTCCACTTCTACCACCCTACTTGGAGCCTCTATCATGTTTCACTTGGATAACTGTGATAACCTTCACACATTCTCCAAATTCACGTTCTCTCAATACATAGTAATCCCACAAGGTTGCTAAAATGAATTTGCAAATTGTTAATCATATCACATCACTCTCCTGCTTAATACTCTCTGTCATTTCCCATTCCTCTTAGCATAAATTTAAATTCTTTACCAAGAATAAACAGTATGCTCTGTGGTTCATTCCTGAATATTGCTCCAACTTCATTATTTATCCCATGCTCCTCCTGCTCATTTTTCTTCAGACACATTGGCCTCCACTGCCTGTACCATGCCAAGCTCTTCCCTATACCAAGGACTTTTCATCAGCATTTCTAGGCACTGTTCCTAGAACAATAGCCAACTGACTCTTTCTTATCTCTTGGGATTTCTGAGACCTTCCATGACTACCTTCCTTTTCAGCATTCTCACTGTTGAATACAGGAGCATTCTCTTGAGGTCTTCTGTGATTTAATTGTATTTGCTTGCTGTTGTTACTGTTCTCTCTTCTTGTGTACTTTCAGACCCATGAACCAAAGGCAGTACCTACTTTATTCATGACTATATCCTAAACTGCCATTGTAATGCTGGTATGCAACAAATATTTCTTAAATAGATGACTAAATTACTAAAATGTATAATGATGAGATGATTGAAAATTTGTTTTCCAAATGTTAAGTGAAGGGAAGTCGCATACTGGCAAATCAAAACATTTAAATACAAATGCATTTTGATGATTTTGGGGTTAGTTGCCAACTTAACTTTAATAAATGAGCTGATAAATGAAAAACAATCTTCTATTTCCTTGCATATAAATTTCATATTAAGTTGTTTGCTGTGTGGAACCAGTGAGTCATTCTCAATGAGGCCTAAATCAAAAGCAGAATGCCTTCCTCACCCTAGAGGTTGAATGATTCTAAGACTGATGACAGTTCTTATCAGTCTGGGGCCAGTGTGAAACAAGAGCACCTGACAAGTCTGTAGCTCAATGAGGTGGACACTAGAGACCTATTTTTTTCCTTTTATGTTTCTGTGCTTCAGACTCTACATCCAAAGATGGATAACTTTTTACTTGTTAAAGAGTCCTGCACTTTGAGTTTTAATGAAGTCAGTATATAATCAATTTAAAAGCTATTCATTGAATAAATTGACCTTTGGGGGCACTAACTGTAACTTGGCTCTGCTCCACAGAGAGTAAAAATAAAACAGCAACTCAGGAATGAACACATTGCCTTTGAATAATAACAGTTCATGAGCCAAGTGTCCTAGAGTCAGTGTAGGACTCTGAGGTTGGATTTGCGAAGAAGAAAGGTAAAGATAATTTCAATCTGCTCCAAATGTCTTTGGGGGACCCACTGTGTCAAAGGCAGTGGCCACAGAAAGACTACAGAGCTGACTCATCATGAACTCCTCCTCCCCAGGAGTTCAGTCAAGTGATAGATTCTGTTGACAGATGACTACAAGTCATAAGGCAGAAGCCGGAACAGTTCCACAGAAAGGGGAAGAAAATAATGTAGAGATTCAGAGAAGTGAGTTCTCCTGGCGGATATCAGAAAAATCCTGCTAGAGGTTGAATTCCTTTTGCTAGGCTTGGGAAATGAACTAGGAGCTGAATCTGAGAGTGAGAAGGCATTTTTAGTTCAGCAAGGTCTTGAGGTTAAAAAAAACAATGGTGAGCTGTGCAGGGAACAATAAATTCATCAGTTTGGCTGAATGGAGGAGAGAAGCATTAAAATGGGAAAGGTAGCTTGGGGCACTATTTTTCGGAAAACTGAACCATACCAAAGGCTAAGTAACTGAACTTCACATCGTAAGCATTAGGATATGACGTGAGAAGTGTTGTGTGATAGGAAGTGCTGAATGAGAACATTGGAGAGAGACAAGAGAGGAAGGTTTCTCAAAGTTTATGATGGTGACATAAGGGGAAAGGTCGGAGGAATTTCAACGGGACTTGTCAAGGTGCTGGGTGAGGGAAATCAGGGAGATTCAAATATTATTCAAAACATCTTGAACTGGCTGACTGAAAGCAGAGTTGTGCCTTTAAAAGAAATGAGAATTACAAAAGAGTAGCCATTGGAAAGAAAATCATCTATGTGGCTTGAGAAGCATCAAGTGGAATGCTAATAGAACACTATGTAGGGGATCACAGGAATAGAATTTGGGAAAGATTTGAGGGCCAGAGATATATGTAGCCCTGCAATCATCATGATGGTCAGATGCCCTGATTTGATTAATTTTTCAAGGGAAAAGTTATATTAAGACGAATGAAGATGATGAAAGATATATAATGGGAGGTGCTTTTATCCACTGGGTCAGAGAATAGAAGAATAAATAGAGCAAAGGAGGGTTGAAGGGCTGCGGAGAGTCTACGGTCATGAAAAACAATTGCCTAGAGATTTCTAAGGGGACAGTGCCCCTAAATGTCATTCTGTGACTCAAATGCTGTAGAATTTGACAAACACAGAACTTTCAAAAGTTTGCAAAGTGGATCATCTTCTACAATGAAAGCTGGAGGCAATGTTCTATGGTAGAAGAAATACTGGCATGGAAATCAGAGAAACTTGAGTCAAGTTCGGAGTGTCTGTGTGGTTGAACCCTATGATTCAAAGCAACACTATTCTCTCTGGGGCTGTTTTCTGATTGGAAAATGGGAGAAAATACCAGATTTAAAGGGGTCTGCTAAGATTAAATTTAAGGTATTGTTTTTCGAATAAGAAGAGGCTGCCAGAAACAAGCCTGTGAGCAGAATTCTCTCAAATTTATCTTCAGTTTGCTTTTCATTAATTTACAGATAGCTATATATTATAGAAAACCATCATTTGAATTCACGGGTGGTTGTGTTACATTAATCATAAAAGTGAATTTCAAAGAGTTAAGTACTAATTTCAAAGAGTTAATCCCTCCCTGTGCAGAGATGAGGGTGGTAGAGCAGATGGCACAAAGTTTGCTCCTGAAGGGCCCACCAGAGTAGATAGTCCTGAGAGAATGTATCAACAGCTCCGGAGAGCTCCATGAGAATGATGCACATCCCGGGAGAAGAGCAGGAACCATGGAGTCCATGGTTTCTTTCATATCCCCAGGAGCATAGCAGAAAGCTCCATTTATAATGCATACTCAGGAGATCTTTTCCAGATGCTTAACTGTTTCAGGAGGGATCTGGCTATAAGGCAGTGCTCCCATCAGAGAAAGGAATAAAGCAATGAGAAGAAATGAGGACTTACAATGGACATTCGGGCAGTCTAATGGAATGTAGACAAAAAGCAAGGAAACAGAAGTGTTTGTTGCTCTGTAACTGTCCCAAAGGCAATGTTGGGTACACATCCAAAGCTAAACATTTCTCAAAATAGAAATCAATGCCAGGAGGAATAAGGGGTAACAAAAGGTCAGATGTGAGTCCACTTCTGGCTAATAGAGAGACACTGTTGCTTGCGTATCTATCAGTTGCTATTAGTAAGTACAGAGGTGCAGAGGTAAAGTGACACTGAGTGCCTTTTGTCTGGGAGAAAGCTGCAGGAGAGCGGTTAACGCATGCTTCCAGCTATGGTAACGTGACCAGCCTTGCAAACTGGTCTGGATGTCCTGGTGTGCACAGTGAAGAATAGCACTGAGACTCCATACTGATAATCATGTAAATGCAGAGGCATTTTTGTATTGAAAGAGGGTCGTATAGTTCCATTTTGAATTATTTCTGGGTTTCTCTCTCTCGGGTCCATCTCCTATGCTACATTCAAATTTATCGTGTTGAGCTGGATCTCTGTCACGACATTGTTTTAAGAAATTACACGCCAAATTGACTATGCATGAAAGCAAAATGTGTTTGGTAAGCAGTGAGGCTCCATGGCCTGATTCCGTGGGCTGTTTGCTCCTCTCTCTTCACCCCACCCTATGATTGCTTCCCAGGTCACGGTGCGTGTTCTTGCGGTCGCTGTGTTTGTGAACGAGGCTGGTTTGGCGAGCTCTGCCAGCATCCGAGGAAATGCAACATGACGGAAGAACAAAGCCAGAGCCTGTGTGAGTCAGCAGATGGCATATTGTGCTCGGGGAAGGGTGAGTATCTGTGCCAGAGTCTGGACTGGATGCATGTTCTGAACACGTGGTTGTGGAACAGCGAGTAGTAACTGTTCCAGAGGGAAGTTAGCATGAAAGAAAGCTACTGTGCAATCTGCCTGCACCAAACGTGAAGCCTGAGCCCTGTCAGTGTGAGCTTTGGGATCTAAGAGCATGAAATACTGGAGAGAGCTTCTGTCCACAAATATTGTCCATCAACCACTTGCATCTGAAAGAAAGAAAATGAATAGTATGAAGATCAGAGGCAGCAAAATAGACTGGGTCTTAAATGGACCCAAATCAGAGAACAGCAAAAGGACCATGGTGGAGTTCACCTCTGAGGTAGCACAACCCAGATCTGCAGAAAAGTGGCAAAAATATGATTTTAGTGCCAGACTAAATCACATAGGTGTGCAGGTGGAGGAAGAGAGGGGAAGTTGTGAGAAAAACAGAAAACAAGAATAAAAATTTAATGGCATAAAGGAGGAAGAAAAGAATGTGGGTCCCATAATTCTAGTACAGTACTCTTTGACCAAAAATTTTACTCACTTGTGCCAAGCAAACATAGAAGGTTAATACATAGGGGGTAATCAATTTTTAAATTTATATTTTGATCTCACCTCATCCAAGGAACCCCACTTGAAATACCATGGTGACTAACGCTTCACCTGTCACATAAGGACAAAAACTGAAAGAGGCTCCTGATATAACTTCAGGCATAAAAGCAGATGGATGTTGTGACCACCTGTAGCACTGGGAGGAAAGAAGTGGACACAAACACTGTCATTTCAATAGGTGTCAATGTTCTTGGTTTCCAGGAATTCTGTATTTCAGACTTGAGTTCTGGGACAGGGAGCCATGCCTACAGACTCATGCTGTGATGGCAGTCAAGTAGGATTTCAGAGAATCCAGTCACTCTGACCCTGTTTATTCTCCCGTTAAACTCTCTCAAGTTGTAAGTCTTGAGCGCATCTTCCTAGAGTTCGTTGCAGGGGCCCTCAGCTCCTGGAAACACCTCTTTTGGGTTCAAGTTGTGTTGGGAAAATTAAAAAAGAGGAACAGGAGGCTAATAGGGAGAGGCAATGAAAGGAATCAAGGAGGGAGAGACTGATGAAGAAAATTCGGAAAGTAGGCAGGGACAGGATTCATTTTGAAGAAGAATCAGGAGGAAGAGATGTTCTCAGATCAGAGGACTGCCCAGCATATAAAGAATATTATAAAAAGTGACAGACTTTTCTAAATTTAAATGTCTGATTTTTGTTAAGGGCAGTGCCATTGAAATAAGGAGAAAAGCTTTTCACAGAAGTTCTGCTGAGTGAGGACACTCATTCATTAGCGTGCTCATTTATATGCATTTGTTTTAAAAGTCAACCCTTGTGTGCATATATGTGTTTACTAGGCACACTGTCAAGTTGGTGAGTACAGTAGAGGACAGGCCTACACCCGCCAGTGTGGTGAATAACATACCAAAGGGTTGTTCTTTTTTCAGAGAGTAAACATTCTCATTACATTCGTTAGAGATCCACAGAGGATTCTCACATATTAGCTTCTTAAATGCAGGAAATATTTTTAAAAGTTAGATTGACCAAATAATGTTGACCTGAAGGCATTTGCTCAAAACCAAAATATCTTTCTAGTTAATGTCTTTCCCAATTGTTGGCTTTGAGTGTTGGAAATGTATCCAGAAAGCAATAAAGGGTGGAAAGCATATTTATCTAAACTATGTTTTTAACCTTCAATGGCTAGAGTGCTTATAGTCTGTAAATTCAAAAGCGGATGCAAAAGCTTCCCTAAGGCTGCACACTTTGATGGCCGTGTTGGTGACAGGCATCCACCTGTACAGTTACAAGTCTGGTTGCAGGCTCCTTTCTTGCCTCAGATTATGGCGATATTAGTGCTGGATTATAAATGAAGAAAGGGGTGGAGACCTGCAGTCCACAGCAGACGCAGAGATGATGGGGAGAAGGCATTTATTCCTGGTTTCCTTGGAGAGCACCTTTCTACATCATCCTGAGAACCACAGCGAAAGTATACCGTGCAAAGACTAAGGGACTTCAACATGGTGGCAGCAAAGGGCTCTTCCACTGTGATGGGAACTATGTGTTTCTGATACATCCCATAGACTTGTATGGATTTTATATGATTTTTCCCAGATTTGTAAATGGAAAGCCTTCTCCCTGATAATCAGAAGGGATGCCACAGTTTTCTTCCTCTGATTTGGGGACAGGTGTGAGAGGGAGCCTGCAGTCACCACAGCACCCAGTCAGCAGCCCACTTCCATGGAAACGATGTCTTAACCACGCACAAACTGTGAACAGAGCTGTCACCTCAGGAGACGATGAAGAAATAGCCTTTTATTTCTTTACAAATTTATAGCCAAGACAATAAATCACTCCATAGAAAAATTTAAAACAAGATACATTGTTGTGACCTTCATAATAGATGGAGTCATTGGTACAACAGTGAAAACTGCCTGCTGGGATGTCGAGTTGCAGCATTTTGTCAGGCTTGATGAATGAAAAGGAAAGTCCAACGTTAGTAATAGATGCAGTAACTGACAAAGGTGGCTTGCCCTTAGAATCCAATTGTTGTTTTTTTTTTTTTTTTTAATAACCAAGAGAGATGAGCTTAGTGGCCAGATCTCCTCTAAGTTTAGCTACCTTTGCAGAATACATGATATAATTCACGTGTTTTTTTTTTTTAATTCTTTAGCTGGGGATGTATTTATTTGGGTCCAAGATGGCATAGTAACATTTTGCCTTAATGACTTAAACCTAGATCCACATCTTACGTTCTCTCAGATGCTGTTGTATGGTAATGGCTGTAAACACAGGTCATGGAATGGCTCCACAGGCCCTCTCCATGCTAGTGCGGGGCCTGCATCATCCAATCGGTCCAGAGTCCACCCATGCATCCACCCATTTCTCCTTCTCCCACCTGGCTGCCCCATTTCCCAGAAATAAGAGAATGGATAAACCAGCCTCATCCTGTTGTTCCAGCTGCCCATCCCAATAAGGCTCTCCTATCAAACTTGCAGTACCACGGTTCAGTTTTGAAACCATGTGAAAGTTTTGCTGGGAGAGACATTACAAAAATGCAGACAAGGCCGGGCATGGTGGGGCACGCCTGTAATCCCAGCACTCCGGAGGCTGAGGCAGGAAGATCGCTGTGAGTTCGAGACCAGCCTGGGCTATATAGTGAATTCCAGGTCAGTCTCAACTACATAGAGAGACCCTGTCTCAA